GGGGGTTATTCTATGTTCTTGATATTTATGCCTCTGCAACATTGAACAAAAATCCAACTTTGAAAATTCTTGATTTTGGCTAGTTTGTTCTTCAAGATTTTGGTTAGGCAGCCTTTTGATAATGCAAATGGTTTTGACTTTTCAATTTTATCCAAATTTTGTTTCAAGTTTTTTTTTTTTCATTAACACATCTATTTTTCTTGAGAAAAAATGGTGTCTTGAAAGGATAGCCATTTGAGAGTTATGGCCAAACTTGTAATGAAAAAATTTTGACTGGTCATATCTGAGATTCTTCTTTTGAAACTCTGAGCTTAGGTCTTTAGCTGAGAGTATAACAGAGTACACACCAAAAAGGTTCCTTTTTATGGAAATGGGATCTGCTTTTTTACATTTTATCATCCCTTAAGTTAATAAATAGACAATAATAACTAAAAATAATAATGATATTAATAATTGCATACTCCATGTTTCATACATGATTCCCTTCTTTACAACCATGGGGGAAATCATGATGTATCAGGTTCAGATGTTGTCTCTTGTGCACAAATTGTCTTTAAACAATTCAAGTAAAAACTTGTTGAGTATCATGTTTTGTCTGTCCCTTTTCTTGATACTATAGCCAAGTACATATGAGAAGATATGATGATGAGTTCTCAAACTAATAAAAAATAGTTTAACTTATATATATATATATAGAGGTAACATAAAGAAATGTTTATTCTATCAGGTCATATAAAACATATCACATATAATTTTTCATAATTTTTACACTATCACGTCATGTAAAACATATCCACACATATAAAATAAGGGCAGACCGGTACACAAAGTATCTTGCGTTCACGCAGAGTCAGGGGAAGAGCCGTACCCAAGGGGTGTGACGTAGGTAGCCTACCCTAACTCATGCATTAGTAGCTAATTCCACGGCTCGAACGTGACTTATAGGTCACACATAGACAACTTTACCGGTGTTTCAAAGCTCCCCTTCAATATCCACATATAACATTTCATAAAAAGTAAAAATTATAATCTTGAAAATAACGTAGATTACTTGCTACAACTTGTAAAAATAATCTGATCGTGTAAAATCTCTTTATACTGTCGGTGTATATAAGTTAATATAAACTCATAAAAAATCATCAAAGTTGTCTCTCTCTCTTCTTTTTTTCTTTCCTCATATGTGTTATGTTTTTTTGGTCCTTTTGTTTATAGGATCTACTATTGCAGAACAATCTTTGAACTGAAAGAGGAGAAAATGGAGGGGGATACATTTTCTGGATTAGGCAATGGTACACAAATAGATGGCAAAGTTGTGCAAACATTTCAGAAGAGTTTTGTACAAGTTCAGAATATACTAGATCAGAATAGGCTATTAATCAATGAGATTAATCAGAATCAAGAGTCAAAAATCCCTGATAATTTGAGCAGAAATGTTGGATTAATCAGAGAGCTCAACAATAATATTAGAAGGGTAGTTGACCTCTATGCTGATCTTTCAACTTCTTTCACTAAATCTGTTGATAATTCATCTGAAGGGGATTCAAGTGGACACAAGAGGAGCAGGCCTATTTAGAAGTCGTGGATTTCTCGATTATTATGTAAAAAATTTATGTGTACTCTTTTAGTACATCAACCTTGTATTCAAGAATCTCCCACAAAAATAATGAACCCCCCTCAAATATGTTACATTGTTCATGTGTAACCGCAGATCTAATTGAAGCAAAATTGCATGCATTTTCTAATCTTTTTGGTCAAATTCTTGTTTCTATGCAACTTCTTAATTTCAAGCAAGTTAGGATTATGTAACACGGTAAATTGACTATTTTTATGCTGGGAGAAACTAGAGTGCTTAGTAAAAGAAAAAAGAAGGAAGGATCAATTCTTGGATAGTGCTTCTATCTTGGATAGTGTTTCTATCTGACCGTACAAAACAACAAACTACCGATAAGGGACACAAATATGTTCTATCCTCCACCTTCATCGCTCATTAATTAGTAATCTCAATTCGCTTTTGCTATTTACTAATATACCGCTCGCTACAACTAGCAGCCCCTTTACTAGGTTGGAAAAATGCTAGATTGAAGCTATTCATAAAAATGAAAACATTTAGTATAAAAAAAGTTACTTGAAATCCCACCCGTATCAGTCTACTGTTACTCTCCTCTTTTAATCGGGTTTAAATTTGTGTTATTGTCTATATTGATAATTGACACTTTATTAACCTTCTCTATGAATGCACACAATTATGTTGATTCTTGTTAAAGGAATGCTGCAAACTTCCCTTTTTTTTTTTAATTAACTTTTTCAGCTTGTCAAGAGCCTAATGATGGAGTATTTGATAAGGGTCATCTTGGATTTTCTCTATCATTCTCCTTTAAATGAATTTCTTCCATTACCTTTTGTAGATCTACTTTTGTTCCTTTTCTTACTCTCTACTGCTTAAAGCCAATTTTCTTTGTCATATTCCATGAGTGGTGAGAAGTGAGAACTGAAGAAGTGGCAGACAATGTTTCAATGTTCTTAGGATTTAAGTTATATATAAAAATAAGGTAAAATATTTTACAGTAGTTTAATATTGGATAACAGGCTGATTACTATTTTTATCAGGTTATTAATTATTATTTATTTATCATAAAAATTTACAGATACTTACTTTATAGATGACCAAATTATGTAAATATTTTTTGAAGGTAACACTATTACACTATTTACTGCATAGAACGTACCGGTAATATTGAACGTTACCGGTAATTTACTGCGTAGAAGTTGGAACTTACACTATTTTTAAGGGAAGAAATTTGCATTTTCCTCTTTGGAATATTATAGTTAGGAATTTATTTAATATTTTAATATATTCGAAGTTCGAATCGTAAAATTAATCATAAATATTTACGTTAGGATAAACAGAATATATATTTCTGTTTGACAGCAAAATATTTTTTACACCAAATTATCATTTCTTTTTAAACATTAGGGTGAGAAAGCAACTTTGGATAAATCTTCTCATTAGTTGCCAATCACAGAGAACCACAAAATCAGAATCTTTATTAGAATGATGATGAATGTATTGACCCAAACGTTAGTAAAAAAAAATCCTCATTTCTTTATGATTTCTTGTTTGTCCCATCTCAAAGTGATAATCTCTTTGGATGACATTGAAAGGGAACAAATAAGTAAACAATTCAGATGATGGCATAAATGAAGAAATAAATAAAGTAGCACTGAGTTAGTTCGATCAAATCATGTAGAATTTGAGAGAACCAATATAAACAAGAAGACAAAGGGCCCCAAAATGAGAGTAAACTTATATATGCTTATCCCCTTCCTATTTAGGTTTCTTTTGTTTGCTTTTCGCTTGGTCTCCTTTTGCAATAAATGCACTTTTTTTGTTTGAGTAACAATAAAGTTATTTTTATAAGTCATAAATTTTGAGTCGTGAAAATAGTCACTAATATTTATATTAAGGTAAGTTGTCTTTATTATATTTTTTAAAATATAGTCTTTTTTTAACCCTACATAAATGTGGGTGCTTTGTGCCTGGGATATCCTTTTCGTCCTTTCATGACTGACTTCCATTTGATCTCTCAAATTTTTTTTATATATATATATATATATATATATATTCAAATATCAATTAGCATGTAAATAATAATTAAAATAACAATATGTATCATATAAAAAGGCACACGAGTGATTCATGTGGTTGCCCCCTAGTTGTGTTATGAATTTAACTTATCAGGCGCACCCCACTACTTATCCTTGACATCAAACTTACAAACTAGGAAAAAGAAACCATTTGATGTTGGTCCACAAATCCAAGCCAAGACAACACTAAACTTATAAATTATAAAAATAAAACATTACATGTGAAGAGGGAATCTACTTTTTCTTCTCCTTTTGTTGTTTCCGGTACATTAGGCCGAGTCATGATTTTAAATTTGTTTATTCTAAATTTCTTAAATAATTTATAATTCGTCTTAATTATAAATATATAATTAAATATTTATATATAATTTTTTTAAATATAAATATTATGTTTAACCAAAAGTAATTGAATTCGTTGAACCCACACCTAACTAGCTTCGCCTCTACCAGCATATAGGTTACCTCCCCACCCTAAACCCAAAAAGGGTTTTTAGTTCTTTTTACTCTTTAATATTTCCCGTACCCCTATGATTCAAAAGAAGAAATACAAAAATGGATCTCTCCTTGTATAGATTAGCAGCCTGCATTACATCACTCTTTTTTTCTTTTATGTATTCGGTATTTAAAACTCATTAACCCGACTAATTAAAATTCATACCGCGCATGATTACTTAAAAAAGAAGTACGCTCTATCAAAAGTTTTTTCATTTATACATCGAACTGAGACTTTAATTAGTTAAGGATAAAGTAATCTCATTTATTTGGATGCACTCCTTGGTGCATAGTATTGGAGTAAAATTTTTATTCGCATTTGATATTTATATTAAACTAATAAATGAAAGACATGTATTTTTTATATAATACATATATTATTTAACGATGACTAATAAGTTATATGCGTTCTCATTTTATTTTTACTGCCAAGATTAAATTATTTGAAATGATATAAACACGGGATAGATAATTTATCCTAGCATATCATATCACTTTTTTACTCACCTAGTTGGATACAGTTGCATTTGTCTCGTTATTAACCTATGCCACACTAATGCATGCACATGCTTCTGGAGACTAATTATGACCTAATTAAAGTAATCACTACGACACAATATTATATTCCCTCCGTCTCAAATTATATTTTTAAAAATAGTTATCTCAAATTATTATTTTAGAGGTTTAAGACTAAATTAATTTTCTTTTTTCTATTCTACCTTTAATATTAATTATTCGTGGAGACTACAAATATTTTAATTATGAGTAAATATTAAACGAAGAGAGATATAAAACATAAATAAGAGTAAAAGTCAAAAACCTCTCTTATTTAATATTTTTTTAAGGGACGTGTAAAAGTAAAATACAACAGATAATTTGAGATGGAGGGAGTATATGAATAAGTTATCGTTCACAAATTAAAGAAGTATATTATATGTCTATTTTTTTTGGGGGAGAGGGGTCAATAAATGTCTTTTCATTTTACTAGAATAATAGAAATTTTCATGAGTATCTTAGTATATTTTCATTCTACTAGTGTACTTATATTGATTCTCCCTCTGTTTTGTAATTGTCTTTTGTAATTTTTAACCAAATATCATTAGAGAAAAGTTTTTTCCCAGTTTTTGAAAAATTAAAAAGCACCTTTGGAGTGACAAACCTTTTTCTTTTTTACATTGTTTGGTTAATTGTTTCTAATTTTGCAAAATTGAAAATTACAAATTTTGGGAAACTTTTCACTTGTTTTTTAAACAAAACAAACAACAAATGAGTCCTGAACAAGACAATCAAGTTAAATCAAAATAGCTTCAAATATGAGCTAATAAAAAGTACTCCATTCATTTTCTGTTTATATGATATTATATTTTATTTTTTTAAAAAAAGAATAATATATTTTTATATTTATAAATAATTAACTTTTCGCCTTTTATTTTACGCTTAATAAAAATCTTCTTTAGTCACACAAATGCTATTATATATTTAAGGCTATACGTTTCAAATTTTTTTTAAACACATAAATATTACTATATCATGTTTAAAATTATTACTATATTCTTTTTAAAATCCAAATTAGCCGAATAAAGTCATCAAGCAAAATAAATAAAAATAAAATAAGAAATGAAAAATAAAACAGAGTTAAGGGAGACTCGGGAATATATTGAAAGGTAAACGGTTACAGCGTCTTCGCCAAAAACAACAGACCGTTTTCAGCCCCAAAAATTGAAGGAGCTCTATTCAGTTTGGCGCATCTCTACTCTGTCATTTTTACGGGTAACCCATATTTCTCTTCTCCTTCTAATACTATACTCTTATTCTTCATATTCTTCTACTGTTTACTGTGCTTCTTATTCTAGAATTTACGGTACTTGGAAGCTAAATTCGGAACAATCTTTTGGGTTATTACTCTTTGGAGATCAACCAATCCTATTTTTCTAGTTCATATCTTGCAAATTAAATGGTGATATTGGTTCTATAATTGTTGTTGTGGTCAGAAGTTTAATGATGCTGGATCGAGTAGGAATAGGCGGATCCATGATTTGGAGTTTATGAGTTCCTACAGTGACCTCAAATTAATATATAAAAATAATTGAGCTCACAATTAAATATTTAAATATATTTAGTGAATTTTAATATACATATATAGGATCTAGGCAAATGCTGTGTGGGTTCAGGTGAACTAGGAAGATCCGCCTCTGGGTGCATGGGTGGTAATAGAAGTCATTTAATTTGTATGGCTTCAGTTCCCCGATTGCTTTCCTGTTTTAGAAGCAAAGTTGGTTAAGTTACTTCTTTGTCGGTTCGATCCATAATTGTAGCTTTTGAATAGTATAATATCAAAACTAATAAAAAGCCAGGGGAAATAGTTCAAGTAGTAAAGTGGACATTTTGGGACAATCCAAAACTATCTTGTATGGATAAGGAATAGTATTAGTTCTATATTTGTTTGCATTAGGGAGAAATATTTGTAACTAAGGAAGGTGGTCAAGTTTTTTTAATGACGAAGCGAGAAGGAAAGTAGGTCATTCTTTATTGGGGGCATAGTGGGCACTTCATTTGAATATGACTGAACTATTGTTTGAACTACTAGAAGAATAATGGTACATAAATTATCAATATCTGGTTTGAGCTTGAATTGATTCTTTAAGTCACAAATTGTATGTCAAGCACTAATTGATGGGCTGAAGAAAGACAGATATGAAAGGTCATCAACTCTATCATATGAGCTACAGGAGAAATAGTTCCAAATAGATTTACTCCTTCTGCCTGTAGTGAAAGACAACCAGACTTTCTGAAAAACCTGCTTATTGTAGAATAAAGGGCAGCCCGGTGCACTAAACTCCCGCTCTGCGCGGGGTCCGTGGAAGGGCCGGACCACAAGAGTCTATTGTACGTAACCTTACCCTGCATTTCTCCAAGAGGTTGTTTCCATAGCTCGAACCCGTGACCTCCTGGTCACATGACAGCAACTTTACAAGTTATTGGGGGGAAATGGAAAGATCAAGCAGCCAGTGCAACCTAGATGATAGGTGTATAGAAGTCCATAGCATAATTTTGATAAGAAACTAGAGAACACAAGGTCCAAAGCATAGATTGTTTGCCGATAGTAAAGCAGAGAAAGGTACTAATAGCTCTGAGGCTATTATTATGCAAATACAGAAATTGTTTACTGATAGTCTTTAAGTTTCTTGCTGGATAGGAAGTTCATTGCATTTAAACCATGATTGTCACACTTCTCATTTCTTTTGGGGAGTTTCAGACTTCTCGCTTCTGATGTACCCTAGCTCAATCACAAGCTCCTTTGTGTCCCACTTATCCTTTCTCCTTCCTGAATTCTGAAGGTCTGACATCCATATAAACTGAATGTCCTTGAGGGTCATACTTTCGTCCAGCTTTTGCCTGCAGCATACAACATCCACCTGCACCAAGTATTATAAAAGATTCAGCGGCAAAGCAATACTGTGGCAACCTTTTCTACATTTCGTCGTGTATGTATAAAACAATCTGTTTCACTGTTCCATACATGTTTATTTTGTCCTTTTAATTCAAGTCATTAAAATGTTTTGCTCCCCCTCTCATTCATAGGTTCTATGTCTATGTGAAGGAAACATTAGTGTATAATCCAAATAGAGGGTAGTTCCTAGTTCTTGATGTATCAATAGTAGTTAAGAAATGATTATTATCTAACTAACTAGTTCAAATAAATGCAAAATTTTGACAACGCATTAAGGCGTAGATATTTGTCATTAATTTTCTAGTTACCGAGCTGGTTGGAGTGAGTGCTCAGATGTCTGGTTTTCAGATCTTAAATCGTATTTTAGCTCACTCAATTGTTTCCCAACCAAATAAAGGCTGATTTTTTTGTGTATTCTCTGTAAGCTAAGAAGAAAGAAAGATTCATTTAACAGATAGAGACTCTTGAAAAGAAAGCTTAGATCATAAGTTTTTAAGTAATTATGGGGGGACAGAGGCAGAAGTCTGGCTAAATAAATAGTTCACGAGTTGTTTTTGCTTGTGCACTTTGTACAGTGAATTGTGTGATTCCCCTTTAAGAATTTCGAATAGGTTTGCCCTTCTTTCAAAAGTTTTCTTTCCCCTTTTGGTTGTTCTCTACGTGAATAAAGGCAATACTTTCTCGATTTAAAAAAAAGGCAATACGTTGAAATTAGGTTAGCACTCTGTATACAAAATCATTACCTTAGTATGATCATTTATATTTAGCTTCTGTGCGAGGTACTTCTGGATTGCAGATACGGTGATCCTACTGTCCCTGCATGTGATGCAAAATCAGTCATTTCATTTTACATGGTGATGAAAATGAGATTTAAAAATATAGGGGTTAGATCAATATTGAAGACAGAATTTAAATGCTAGTATTAGATGCTATCTCGTGAAATGCAATTAATAGCTTGGCCCGTCTTGCATGCATGTATCTAATTAAGATTTCAATCTGCTTTATACTTCAGTCTATGCTAAAAGAATAGATGCATAGGTATGCATGTGAAAATCTTACTTGAGATGGATATAGGACTTATTAATGGGCGGCAACCTACGTCCACTCCTGCCAAGAGTAAAAGAACAAAATTGTGTCAGATCAGTGAAACAAGAATCTTGAGAACGATGTGACTGGTCGGGTACGTACTTGTCTCCCTGTGGTACAAGAGAAAACCAGAAAGAGCAGACTTCCTTTTGTTTTTCATCCAAAACTTGCTTTTTAGGTGTTGAAGACTCTCTGTCTTTGGCATGCTCGTCCTTATGAATGTCATCTGGCCCAATGTCTGACTTTTTCTCCTCAGTCTTACTAGTCTCACCTGGTGTAAGCTGGCGTGCTCTTCTGTTCTTGTTCCTCTTTTTCTTCTTTTGCCCTCTGATCTCCTCCGTCTTGGACTTACCTACTTCAGCATTGGTTTGAGATACACCGCAAGCAACCTGAGGCATCTTCAAAGAAACTGACTTTTATATTGAGGTTATGTGAAATACATCTAACCAACAGTACGAACTTAAGGCCAAATTCCTTTCCAAAATATATATGCCAAATACAGTGAACTTTTGATTGGAGAAAAGGAAAAGAGCCGATAACTACCTTAACTGCAGATGCAGTTGTAGAGAAAGCTGAGCTTTCTTGTGAGGACGTGCGATCTAAGGTATTTTCTTTCTCTGCATGTGCAGGGTTGTGATGAAACTTCTCCTCAGAAATTTCATGATCCTCAAGCTGATTATTAGTTCCAGATCCTTGCCTCACATCATTAGCTTCTGATCCCAGTTGTCCTTCTCCATTAAAGAGGGACTGAATTTTGTGTGCTATGGACCGTATTTTCTCATCATCTCTGTTGAAAATATGCAGTCCATTGGCAAAAAGAAGAGATAAGGTTAGTAAAAGAAAAGTAGGGGTGGAGTTTCCACCCTGGTGTGCCTTCCTTCCATCAATAGAGCATTAACTTATTGGAGTCCAGACATTCTGATCCGGCGTACATGCTGCAACTCAGTGCTTTTAAAAGCGTAAAGGGCTAAAAACCCACAAGAGTCACTGGACTTGAAGCGAAAAGCGAGAAGTGAAGCACACTCTTCTTTGAAGTGAAAACCACTATTTACGTAAAATTTTAAAGTACCAACATACACTATAATAAATAATTAAGTTGCATTAAAATAACTAGTTTCAGCATTCAGTATACAATTGGATGACATTAGTCCAACTCCTCAAAGTTGAGATTAAAAACACAGACTGCTTCCCATTTGGATCACTTTGCACGTCATTGTTTTAAACACAAATTTACACTCTACTGAAGCACATGGCTTCACTCATGAAGCGATAACAACAACAACAATAACATGCCCAGTGAATTCTCTTCTCACAAGTGGGGTCTTGGGAGGGTAAGATGTACGCAGCCTTACTCCTATCCTGGAAAGGAGAAGAGACTGTTTCCGATAGACCCTCGGCTAAAGAAATGATGAAAAGAAGTAATGGCAACAAGTAGTAACAACAACATTATAAAAGAAAACCGAAGCAAAGGTAGCAACTAAAAGGTAGGTAATAATAGCAATCTAACAGTAGAAAGATATCAAACTAGAACTAATGCTACCGAATGAAGGAAAACAAAAGGGAACGCTTGCCTACCTACTAACCTTCTACCCTAATCCTCGACTTTCACACCCTTCTATCAAGGGTCATGTCCTCAGTAAGCTTCAATTGCGTCATGTCTCGCCTAATCACCTCTCCCCAAGACTTCTTAGGCCTACCTCTAACCCTCTTCATACCCACCAAGGCTAACCCCTCACACCTCCTAACTGGGGCTTCTGTGCTTCTCCTCTTAGCATACCCGAACCATTTCAACCTCGCCTCCTGCATCTTATTTTCCACAGGGGCCACTCCCACTTTATCCCGAATAACTTCATGAAGCGATAACACTCGCTTTTTATTGCTTCATCGCTTTAAGCAATGAAGCGATAGCTTTTAATAACACTGATGCCCGTATGTGGTTAGGTATGTAGACTCAAAAAGATTCTGAGTTCTATCTGACATGATAGGTTCTTATCGACACAAATGATCTATCCAATTGCCAAACTTCTGGTGATGTGTCAGAAAGAAACTTCAGGTCCTTAAGTTCTGTGCAGCTACTTAATTATAGGTTTGCGTACCATTACTGAAGGATCTGAAGGAGAGGTCCCCGTATACAGAATAATATCTCATTTATCCCAAAGTTTTATCGAAAATGGATATAATAGTCCAATGAAATATTCTTGTGCGTAGAGGCAGTTTCTGCTTTAAGAAGCAA